AACAAAACCCAGGGCTGAACACGGCGATCTGGAAAGTCCACCATGAGACAGAGGTTGGCCCGAAAGGACAAACTCTGTTCCTAAGTGTGGACGAAAACAGCATGGTCAAACTGGAGGAACTGAAGCGCAGTCCATATTTTGGAATGGGCATAGTTTGCTTCATAGAANATATTTTGGAATGGGCAGAGTTTGCTTCACAGATTATGTTGCCAAGCAGCCACCAGCCCGGAAGGATGTGAAAAAACCCACACCTCAAAAATCTGGGAAGAGGAAGGCTGAGGAATCACCAGTGCCACTCGGGAAAGGAGGTAAATTACAGGTAAGGGGCAAACGGACACACTTTACTCCTGCCTCGAAAGTGAAGGGAGGAAGTGTGTTACGTAAGGGAAAGGGACCCAGGAAACCGCCACCCTCAATAACGGCCACAGCTGAGGGAAACCTGTCCACAGATCCAAAAGGAAATGTGGAGAGCGGAACCAAGGCACGGTCGCCACCTGTGGACGGTGGTGGGGCACCACCCACAGTGGGGGCTGTGTGACACAGGGACTGTTTCAGACACCTGTATCACACCCAGCACAACGTGCTTTTTTAAGCGTCAACATCAGTTTATCTGAATGGCTGACAATAGAATTCAATTCACGCAAATAAACCTGCATCACAGTAAAGGGGCCAGTAGTGTATTACTAAGGACCCTAACTGAGAGGCATACAACACCCTTACAAATAGCACTTATTCAGGAACCATGGATAAATGGGGACCAGATTAAGGGGCTAAATCTAAGGGATTTTAAACTGTTTCATAAACAAGCAGATAAACCAAGAACTTGCATTTTGGTTAATAATAAAGTTAAAGCCAGCCTGATACTTAATCTATCAAGTGCAGACTTGACTATTATTAGAGTAACACTAAATGATGGTAAAAATATCATAGTAGCTTCAGGATACTTACCATATGAGGTCACAGACCCAGGTAGGGACCTAACTATGCTCTTTAATTATTGCAAAAATGAAAAATTAGAACTAATCCTAGGTATGGATGCTAATGCACACCACACTATTTGGGGGAGCAGTAACATCAACCAAAGAGGAGAGGTTATAATGGATCTATTGCTGACTACAGACCTAAGTATACTGAACAGAGGTAGTGAACCTACTTTTGTTATCAGGAACAGGCAGGAAGTCATTGATCTAACAGTTTGTTCAAAAGGGTTACTTCAAAAGATAAAAGGGTGGAAAGTGTCCTCCGAACCTTCTCTTTCTGATCATAGGCACTTACGATTCACTTTGGAAATTAACAAAGTTGAGACGGAGTACTATAGGAACCCGAAAAGAACAAACTGGGACAAATACAGGGCAGATCTCTCTCGTGACCTGATTAACCTACAGTTTAGATTGGGGTCGAGACAGAGTACTGAAAGGGGTTGTAAATATGCTACAGGACTCCATTGTCTCAGCTTACAAAGAAAACTGTCCTTTAATAGAAAGGAAAGGTACAGGGCAGGGTGTAGCTTGGTGGAATGCTAACCTGTCTAAATTAAGAAAGAGTTCACGTAAGCTCTTAAATAAAGCAATGAAATCAGGTTTGGAACAACACTGGGAATCCTATAAGGACGCCCAAAGGAACTACAAATCTGCATTGAAAAAGTCCAAAAGAGAAAGCTGGAAGAAGTTCTGTGGGGATATACAACAACTCCCTATAGCAACTAGACTTCTGCGATCACTAAGGAATGGACCAAACAAAACTGTCGAGGCAATACTACTGCCAGACGGAATGTTCACCAATAATGATAATGAAACATTATCACATTTGATGAACACACATTTTCCTGACTCTACAATTAACAACAGAGAACAGGAACATGATGCACAGGACAAACGTGTGACCTGTGCTGATTGGAGACTAACCAGGAAAGTGATAACCCCAAGTGGAATAAGATGGGCAATAAAAGCCTTTGGCAGTTTTAAAGCTGCAGGCTGTGACGAAATTTTCCCTGCACTTCTGCAAGAAGGGTTAGAGATAATCGTCCCCCATCTCTGCAAAATATTTAGGGCATGCCTTGCCTATGGTTATCAACCAGAAAGCTGGCGTAAGGTTAGGGTAGTGTTTATACCCAAACCTAACCGCACTAACTATTATGAAGCAAAATCCTACAGACCAATAAGTCTTACTTCTTTTCTTCTTAAGACTATGGAGAAACTTATTGATAGGTACATCAAGGAGGGGCCTCTTAAGGAGAACCCTTTACATGAAAACCAACATGCGTATCAAACGGGGAAATCTACTGATACAGCTCTACACTGCTTAACTACTAAGATAGGGAAAGCTGTAGAGAATAAAATGTATGCAGTAGGTATATTCCTGGACATCGAAGGGGCTTTTGACAATACTCCCTTCGATGCTATGTGTGAATCTGCACAACAGCGTGGAATAGAACCACTTATTATTAAGTGGATAGAATCCATGCTTAAGGAACGCTCCATTTTGGGACAGCTCAATGAGACCAAAGTAATCAAGAGTGTCAAACAGGGATGCCCACAAGGCGGGGTTCTATCCCCCTTGCTATGGTGTCTAGTATTGGACTCGCTTATTAGAGAGTTAAACAAATATTGTTATACACAAGCCTATGCGGATGACTTGGTTATAACAGTGGTGGGTAAATTCCCAGACACTATTATTGACTTAGCACAACAGAGACTTAACACTATACAGATATGGTGTAGTAAGTACGGTCTATCTGTTAATCCAAATAAAGCAGAGGTTGTTATGTTCACTAGAAAGAGAATAGGACTAGACAACCTGGACACTCTTACTCTGAATGGACAAGAAATTAGCTTAAAATCAGAAGTAAAATACTTAGGTATTATCTTGGATAGTAAGCTAAAATGGAAATCACATGTTGAGTCAAGAATCAAAAAAGCAATGACCACATTGTGGACTTGCAGCAGAGCCTTGGGAAAGACATGGGGTCTTAAACCAAGAGTTATGTATTGGTTGTACACGTCAGTGATTAAACCTATGATATTGTACGGTGCCCTGGTCTGGTGGACCAGAACAGCACTCATTACAGCTAGGAAAGAACTTAGTCGCATACAGAGAATGGCTGCTATTGCCATCACTGGAGCATTAAGAACTACACCAACGGTCGCATTAGAGGCACTAATTGGATTGCCTCCTCTGCATCTAGAGGTGAAAGCTCACGCCAAAGCTACAGCACTAAGATTCCACAACTTAGGTATGTGGACTTTGGAGAGTGATACAACAGAACATGGTAAAATACTAAAAGAGATAGACAAGGGCTTTTTAGAATACCCCTTGGACTATATCAAACCGGTTCTTAAGAATAACATTCCCTACAAAGTGGAGATCACTACACGTATAGAATGGAATATTAACCACCTGACTGACAAAGGAGGATTTGTGATATATACAGATGGATCCAAAAAATCAGGAAAGGTAGGTGCTGGAATTTGGGGCTTAAAGCCACGAATAAATGTCAGTATGTCATTGGGCACAACACCCTCTGTTTTCCAAGCAGAGGTGATGGCGATACTGGTAGGGGCTCAGAACCTGCTGGTATACAAAAATAGGAAGATAACTATCTTAAGTGATAGTCAAGCGGCTTTGAAAGCACTCTGTAACGATCAGGTGAATTCAAAGCTGGTCCTCGAATGCAGGGAAACTTTAGAATCACTATCGAGGTTCAACAAAGTTACACTAGCGTGGGTACCGGGACACAACGGTGTCACTGGAAATGAGAATGCTGACTTTCTAGCCAGGAAAGGAGCAGAGAACACCTATGTTGGACCAGAACCAGTGGTAGGGCTCACTGAGCAATCGCTCAAAGCGTTACCCAAGAATTGGTGCAGAGAACAACACAGGAAAATCTGGAAGTACTTGGTAGTACCTAGACAATCTAAAATGTTTATCAAGACCCCTGGTTTATTGCTGGGTGATCTTAATAGCATGACTAGACATCAAATAAGCACCCTGACTGGTCTACTGACAGGACATGGTCACCTGCTTAAGCATCTTAACGCAATGGGGGTATCGGAATCACCATTGTGCAGGAAATGTGGAGTAGAAGAGGAAGACTCATTTCACATCATGTGCGAATGTGAAGCCTTGTCCACACTAAGATCAAACTACTTGAATAAACCATTTCCTGAAAAAGAGGATATTAAAAACCTAAAACCCAGAGAGATACTTAATTTCGCCAGAAAGACAGGACTCTTTGGTCATCTCTAGAGGTGACTTTATGGTTGGTAATGTATTAACACTTTGGTGATAACACTTAGGTGGGTAAACCGAATCAAGACAATTCGGTATGATGTGCGCACAATGGACCAACAGGTCTGAGTGCATGGGCATTATGTCCACCTCAATAATAACTAAAACTAAACACTTTTTTTTTTATTCAAATGAACTTCTTATATGATTTATCTTTTGTCAGTACATTCTATATATAATTAATATATATAATTGCATCATTAAAGTTTTAAATGTTAAATTTTTTTAGAATATAGTTAATATTATTTATCCTTTGATAGTTCGTTTTGGATACAAATGAAAAGAGTGATATATTAATAAATATAGCTGAAAAAACTTGAAAACACATCGATGTAAAAAGTTAAAAATAATTTTTAAAATAAGCTTAAAACAATAATGAACGGAAAATAATCGTTCGCTCAATTTACGAATAATATAGCACAAAGCTTTTTTTAACAATAATACTATTATTTTTCGTTTATTATTGTTTTAAGCTTATATAAAAAATATTTTTAACTTTTTAGTTCGATGTTTTTTAAAAGCTTGTTTTTCAGTTTTTCAAACTATATTTATTTTTTACTCTTTAGTTTTTTATGACATTGCTGTCAGCACGGAGTGTTTTCAGTCAATTATGACTTTCAATAGATACAATTTCTGTATTGGCAGTTAGTGTGTTTATAAACTCACAACTGTGTCTTACTACTATTGATAATAAAGGCTATATGCTTGCTAATATCGTCATAAAAAAAATAGTCATATCGGCTTTTGGAGAGCCAGTTTATTGATGAGGTGAATGTGTTACGACAGTCAGTCTCAAGGTCATAGACGACGGGATACGCGAGAGTAATAACACATGGCGTGGCGTGTGGTGAGTTACAAACATACTTACATACAGGTGAAACTAATATAAGCGTGTTAAAATATATATTATATTATTATAATATATTATAAATGGGTCTACATATTATGGAACACTATATAATGAAGATACCAATATATTAAGGATTTTATCTCAATAACTTATTATATTATTCAAATGAACTTTTTAGTCTTATCCATCTGAATGTTAGTTATTTATTGCTTACCTCCTGGAGTATTAGCACCAAAACTTTCACATAAATATAGTAGATTTGGTTTTTTATAAAATCTTTTTTATAGTATTCAAAGTTAAGAATTAAATATATTATTAATTGATACCTATAAATTATAAATATAATATATTTTGTTGTTAAATTACTAACCTACTAAAAATTTTTTTTTTTTTAATTTGAAATTAAACGTTAATCGCTGTTTATACGAATAAATTTGACTTATATTTTTATAAGTTATATTTGGTTGATATCATTATTGGAGGTACTAATGAACAAAATTGTCGTGCAATGGTAAACAAAGTAATGTCAGCGGTGAATTGCACATAGATTATGTGTTAATTTTAGTAAATGTCAATGGTATTATAATAGTGTGGATTTGTAAAAATATTTAAAAATTAAATTTGTTATTTATTTTTAATGCTTAGATAATAAATATTAGTCAGCATACTTTCCTTTGAATAAGTAATGCTAATCAAGTTAATTATAATTTTTGGCAGTAGTTATTAATATTTTTATACTTAGACGGGAGGATAGGGAGTCCGGAATATGTCTAGTGATAAAAATATTAACACCCGCTTTATAATTGAACAATTTCGTTTATTTACAGGTCTATTGGATTTTCTATGTAGGATTCAATTTAGTAAGTTTTTTTCATGTTTTACATCTCTAAAAGTATTCCCATTAAAATTACATTAGAAATTAATTCGTAACTTTAAATCTGTAATATAAATTTTAAGTTGAATAAATCTTTAATCTTTTGATAACTGTAGTTATAATTTGCATATATGCGAATTACATAACGAGAGTTTTTATATTTTTAATTATAATTACAAAGAGCTACAAAGATGTATTTACGAGGGTGGCATTGGCGTAGTGTTAATATATTTTAGTGCTGTAAGTAATGACTAAATATCAAATATGTATATCATTTGTATAAATTACCATTGTTTTCATAGACTGGAGTTCGACATATTGGACATTCATTTTTACGTTGTAACCATAAGTTCATACATTCTTCACAAAATTTATGTAGACATCGTGTTATAAAAGTTTCGGGGCTTATCGTATTCATACAAATAGGGCAATCTACAAAATATATATAACAAAATAAAAGTAAAATAGTATAATAATAATAATATTAAAATATTATAGTAAAAGTATGGGACGTAATATGTTTTTAAATTTCTGTAAATTTTCATTGCCAATTCATTAGTCAAAAATGCTAAACAAGGAAATTACTAACAGTCAACGCTGACTTTAATATTAATATTTATGTTAAATTTCTTTAAATGAACTACTCCTTATAAAATATTTAGTTAGATGGAAATAATGAAAAAATCAATGAACAAAAAATGTAAATAGCTATACACCCGTTACATAATGAAATGTATACAAAATTAATGAAAATGTTATTTTATTTTCATTAAATCTTTTATTTCAAAAAACCTGTGATAAAAACCTTTGTTAACCTGCTGGTAGTGTTATAATAGGAAAGGATTCGGACGATAGATATATAATTATAATATACTTATTATTTTATTTTATATCTTTTATTATTCAAATTTATGAGTACATGAAATTTTTCATTATTTATTGTTATTAATGTATATCCATTAAAAGAGTATTTTTTACTTAGACGGTTCATTATAAATTCAAGGGATTCTACATTTATGCACATTTAATAGTCCTTTATAACGTTAAGTACTGTGTAAAAAACAAATAGTTTTATTCCATTCAATTATAAAGTACTTACACTGAAATTTAATGTATTTTATCTAAAGATTTTACAAAAATATTTTGTTTGAGCTTTAAAAATCTGTTTAAATTAATCTTTTAATTAAAAATTAATTTCACAAATTTTAATACAATTTTTTAAGTTAAATAATAATAATAATAAAGATTAATAATCTGCATTTATTGGGCCAATTGGCTGTCATAAAATTATAGTCTAACTTGAGCTCTTATTAGGGTAGACTAGAGGTCCGTAGTTCCCCTAGTCAAAAATTGTTATATCTCTGGTTCTAATTCTCTAAATGTTATGCTATTATAAAAAATGGATGCATAAACATATTGACTGCATTATGTCAAATTCTCAGATTATTAAAACATAATCTTATATATATATATATATATATAAAAATATATATATATTTTTAAATTAAAATGACCAGTATTATCGGCATATATAAATACATACAAAAATATAGGGATGAAATAATTTAAACAAAAATCACTAAAGTATAGTTTATATAAATTATAAATATATAATAATTTGTTAACCTTATACGAAATTTCTTAAAAAATATTTTTTTTTTGATAAATTTAAAAGCTGAATACTATTTTCTCACATTTAAACGTGATAATGTTTTTTAATAATATCGTTCTAATAAGAATAAGGTTTTTTTTATCATTATTAATCTATAAATATGGTCAACATAATTTTAGATGCATGGGTTTATTAGATAATGAGGTGACCGATATTACCCACTGACCATAGTTCCCCCAGAGCCCTAAAACTTATTTTATAATTTACACAGTCTTAAAAGCGTAACTGAACCGTACTAATACCAATTTTGTACTTTTGTGGAACTCAATGCAGTCTATATTAAATTTGATATGTTTGTTTGAACTCATGGTTGTACCGTAATGATGAAAAAAGTTATACCTGTTATATAATTAAATATATTTATAAAACAGGGGATATTTTAACATACTTTATTTTAAATTTTTACACAATGTTCATTGTATATATTTTGTGAACATTATGTATGATAATTCAATATAAAAGTTATTGCAAAGAATTAATATGAAGAAATTATTAATCCTACAAATTTAGATTACATTTTATAAGGACGTTTATAGCTATAAACATTTTTTGGATGTATCCAATTATAAAAATAATAGTAAGATATATACATGACTAAAAATATTATTTAAATAATTTATTATTTTTAATTTTTATAACATTACATTACACAATGTTCATATTATGTTTGTAACGTAAAACTTGCGGTTCTAATTTTTTTTACTTTCGATGGGAAGTGGAGAAAGTATTAATTTTACAATGATGTGTTTTTTTTTTTGTGTCTGTTACCACTTTTTTTTAGATCTCACTGAATCGATTTCTTTCAACGATACGTCAAAATATCACAATTTTTTTCTAATCGAAGACATAACTCTCAAAAATTGAAAAAAATTCCCACGTTCCCTGCAATAGGGGGAAATCTTCTAAAAATTACAAATTTTAAAATCGCTAATTTATGGCTAAATTGCTATAACTTTTTTAAAAATGACAAAATCGATATATATTTTTTTGTAGATACATAAGGTATTTACCTATCATTTTGTATTTTTTTTTTTAAATCTGACCCATTACCTACCAACAGGGGGGGATTCAAAATGACAACTTTTTTACAACAAATTAACTTAACTTTTGTAAGTGGAAAAAAGAAAAATTTCGGACTTTATTTTGTCTTCACGGTGAAATTAACTACCAAATGCTATTTTTGTATGAAAATTCTCGATTTTATATCTTACATTTTTAACTTTAAAATGCAATAACTTTTTGAAAAATATATGGATCAAAACAATTTTTTATGAGAAATAATATTTATATACTTCTTTTATTCGTCATACTTTTTTTTAAATCGGACAATTTCCCTTAATATAGGGGGTTCAAAATTTAAAAATGCATATAGAACGTAGAACTTTTTCAACTTAATTTTTGAAAGTGTTCTGGAAATACTGACACATTTACATATATCTTAAATTAAAGCTTATGTAATATACTTTAATATTAAAAAAAAATAGGAGATCATGAAGATTTTAGAATAATTCATTCATTTTTTTAAATTAAACATTATCTACAAATTTGCATCAAAGCGTTTTTTATGATAGTGTTATTAATAACTGTCAGATATCATCTATACTGGAACCAACTATACCTTGTCCCCACTGTGCTGCATTTTTTATATCATAAATTATGAAGTATTAAATTAATGTAATTAATTTTTTTCTTATTACTTGAATCATCACCATCATCATCTACAACTAAATATAGTAGATTTGTTTTTTTAATATGATATAGTTATTTTTAAATATTAAAATTATATATATATTAATATTAATATTTTAAATAGCAATAATATTATGTATTGTGCTGTAATATTAAATTTAATAGTTTTTTGCTCACCATTTGAAGAACTAGCACCATCACCTATAATTAAATTTAGTATACTAATTTTTTTATAATTTGCTCAAAGTATTCAAATTTAAGAGAACATGAAATTATTAATTATAAATGAATAATTCCGATATTTATTACTCTGACAATTAATTACAAATTCATAAAATTCAATAATTATGCATATTTAATAGTCCTTGATAATTACTGATAATGTTATACAAATTCAAAAGCTCTATGGTATAGGGCGCAGCTTCCATGATGATCGCAAGAGTTTTTCATCCCCTTCCATAGCAAAATCATTTAACTACCACTGAACCTCGCTAAGGTTCAGGGCTACGTAAAAACAAATGGTTTTATTCCATTCAATTATAAAGTACTTACATAGAAATTAAATGTAATAGCTTCGATGGGAAGCTGAGAACGTATCAATTTTATTATGATGTGTTTTTTTTTGTGTCTGTTACCACTTTTTTTTAGATCTCACCGAACCGATTTCCTTCAACGATACGTCAAAATATCACAATTTTTTTCTAATCGAAGATATTACCTCAAAAATTGAAAAAAAATTCCCTCGTTCCCCGCAAATGGTGGAAATATCCAAAAAAATTACAAATTTAAAAATCGCTAATATTCGAATTTTTTTCACTTTTTTTTCTTAAAACTTTCATAACTTTTTGAAAAATAAACAAATCAACATAATTTTTTTTATACTAAAACCTTAGATATTTACCTTTCATTTGATATCATTTTTTTGAAAATCTATCACTTAACCTGCTCATTGGGAGGGATTTAAAATAGCAAGTTTTTTACGAAAATTAACTTTTTCAACTTAATTTTTGAAAATGTTCCGGAAATACTGCGTCCTTTAAACATATATCAAATTAAAGATTTTTTTATGTACTATATTTTTGAATATGGTAGCCATATTCAAAAATATGCTAATTTAAAAAAAATTTTTTTTTTTTGATTAAACACTATCTACAGATTTGCATTGAAGCGTTTTTTATGATAGTGATTTTAATCACTGAATATATCATCTACACTGGACCCAACTATGCCACGACCCCTTGTGCTGCCACCCCAATGTACAGGGTTTTTTATTATAAATATTCACAAAAATCTACTTTAAACGATTAAAAAAATAGGTTAAATATGTCATTTTTTTTTAATTAATTCGTGTAAGAACTTCATTTCTTGGAAGTATGCAGCCAAAGAATATATGGAAAATCTAACATATCTCATTTTGATGTGGTATTTACTTGACTATAGGAAATGAGTTCATAAGAAAAATAGCTATGTGTATTGTATTGTATTAATACTGTTGAAAATGAACATCGTATACCTAATGAGAAAATCTGTCCCTTCAACGACAATTTCTTCATCAAAACAATATGGAAAATTTTCTAGTCATTAATAAGAGTTGGATGTTTGTTTAATTACAACAGGACAAAAAATATTCTTTTGAATGTAAAATTATTTTTTTTTTTAATTGCCATAACTTTTTTAAATCAGTTCCAACGTAACAACAGTCAGGCACGGACGGCCTATCACGCTTACGTAATTTTTTTCTTATTAATAAACCATACATTAATATATTAGTTTAAATTTAGTATCAAATAAAAGATAAAAGGTAAAAGATTGGGCTACAAACTCATCGTAAAATCAACCACCAGTTTTGGGGCCGGTGGCCTCTAAGTAAGAATTTTCTTACATTTTAATTAATATATAACATNTTTTGCATTTAATAGTAAAAAAAAAATAGTTATTTAACGACATACAGGGTTCATCCCAAAAGTAATGAGCCTCAACTTTTTTTGACGTGACTAAACAATCCAGTGCGCTTTGACCGGTCAGGAAGAGTGGGGGGAACTCTGACAAAATACTGCAGACCGGCCTCATTTCACTCTGAGCTCTGGAAGCGACAGGACGTTAGTTCCCCCGAAGGAAGTTTCTAAGCGTCGTCATGGAAAAAACGATTGAACAACGTTACGCAATCAAGTTTTGTTTTCGGCTGGGGAAAACCGCTACTGAGATAATCTCAATGCTTCAGACGGCTTTCCCGGATAATTGTTTGTCCAGTTCTCAAATTAATAAGTGGCACAAGGCGTTCAAGAAGGGCCATGAGGACGTCGCTGACGAACCAAGGTCAGGGCGCCCGTCAACTTCGCGGACAGACGCCAATGTGAAACGTGTGCGCGATTGCTTGAACACCGACCAGGACAGACTGTGAATGCAGTGTTCTACAAAGCTGTGTTGAAGAGATTGAGGCTTAGGATCCACCGCCTGCAGAGGGAGAGGAAGTGGCCGATTCGGGAAGACTGGAGGCTCCATCACAATGCGCCCTCTCACACCGCGTTCATCGTGAACGAATTCCTGGACAAAAAGCACATCACCGTGGTTCCTAAGCCTCCCTACAGTCCCGATCTGTCTCCCCAAGACTTCTTTTTATTTCCAAAAATGAAAACAGCCCTGAAAGGACATCCCTGACAGTCTATCGAAGACATCCAAGCAGCCGTGACGAAGGTCCTGACAGAAGTTACGGAAGACGCCTACCGGGGAGCGTTCGAGGCATGGAAAAACCGCCTCCAGCGGTGTATTGACACGGGAGAAGAATATTTTGAAGAATTTTGATGGCTTGTAGCGTTATAATCAATAAAAATGTGATTCTGAACAAAGGCTCGTTACTTTTGGGATGAACCCTGTACAATGCATAATAATATTACCTCACGAACCACTCCGCTAGCTCATAAATGAGATAAGCCTAAACCGATAACGCCGAACACTATAATAAACCGAAATTCAATTTTACAAACTTCTAAATCGATAAATAACACATTTACTTTTTCTGATAATGAAAATGAAACCGACTGGTCAACTATCATCTCAAAGAGCAAAGATAAAAGGAAAACAAATTCATCACCGGGCTTGTCTCCAAAAGCCAAACAACCTAACAATAACACAACAAATAATTTACGACAACTCAGTCGTTTTTCTACTTTAAACTCAGATATCCACGATCACAATGACATGGAAACTGAGCAAATAATTGATTCACAAGAACCAAAAATATCAACCCCCCCACCTATTTTTATAAAATCAGATCTCGATTACAAAGGCTTTTGTGAAGTTATACAAAAAACTATAGGCTCAAATGCATTTAGTTGTAAAAGTAGCATTAAAGAATTAAAACTGCAAACCAATACACCGGATGATTATAGAAAAATTGTATGCTTCTTTAATGAAAAAAATGTGGACTTTCACACATATCAAATACAACAAGATAAACCTTATAAAGTCGTTTTTCGTAATTTGCACCATACCACTCCAGTAAAACAAGAACTGGCAATTCATGGTTATAACGCGTTACAAGTAGTAAATGTATTACAAAGTAGAACCAAAATACCACTACCTCTTTTTTTGTCGATTTAGAAGCAAACCAACAAAATTTAGGAATTTTAAAATTAATTTCGATTTGTCAAACTAAAATAAAAGTAGAGGAACCCCATCCTCCACGTCACTTAATACAATGTGTAAGATGTCAAGATTTTGGTCACAGAAAAAATTTCTGCAACCATCAACCACGTTGTGTTAAATGTGGAGAAACACATTTGACTCAAAATTGTACAAAAACACCTGATCAACCACCCAAATGTGCATTATGTCAAGGACAACATCCTTCGAGTTACCGAGGTTGTACAGTTTACAAGGATCTCACGAAAAAACAGAAATCAACCTATTACAAAAATACTGAAGAACCGAAAACACAAACCCTTAATTCAAATATTGTAAATGAGTCTTTAGGTCACACCTCACAACAAACGTTTTCAAACGCACAATATCAAATACAAAGAATGTACGCCCAAGTACTGACTAATGACAACACTCAAAACTCAAAAAACCTTACAAACCAACTATCAACATTTATTAATGATCTCAAGTCACTAATTAACCCACTAATTACTCTTCTCACCACTGTTATAAACAAAATACTATTAAAAAATGACTAACTCTAACAATAACATACCTAAATTAACTATACTTCTTTGGAATGCAAATGGAGTAAACCAACATAAAAACGAATTACAGCATTTTCTCTTCGAAAAAAAAATTCATATTGCACTAATTACAGAAACACATTTAACACACAAATCTAATTTTAAAATCAATGGCTATACACTTTATAAAACCGACCATCCAGACGGTACAGCACATGCTGGTACTGCAATACTTATTTCTTCTAACATTCAGCATTATCAATCACCGGGATTTCAAGAAAAATTTTTACAAGTAACAGTTATTAAAATTAAAATAAAAAACATACTAACTTCAATCGCGTCTGTTTACTGCCTACATGATCAAAACATAAGCTCTAATGATTTTAACAGATTTTTTTCAACGTTAGATCATTCATTTATTGCTGGAGGCGACTATAACGCTAAGCACAATCATTGGGGAAGTAGAGCCTCCAATCATAGAGGAAACACCCTTCATACTTTATTAATAAATAATAATTTTTCATACATTCACTCCCAATACTAATTTATACTCAGACAGTAACTTCAATGAAGAATTAAAAAACTTCTTAACAACTCCACTACCAATGATTTTACCAGCCAAATATACAACCCCAGGTGAAGTAGAGTATTTAATAAAAAATCTTACTCTAGGGAAAGCGCCCGGTTATGATTTCATTACCAATAAAATTTTAAAAAATGTATCACAAAAAACCTTACTTTTGGTAACCTACATTTACAATGCCATGCTAAGGTTATCATATTTTCCTATAATCTGGAAACTCGCAACTATTATTTTAATACCAAAGCCAAACAAACCAAAACATCGCTCTACGTCTTACAGATCAATAAGTTTATTACTAGTATTAGGTAAACTTTTCGAAAAAATATTACTCAGAAGACTACGTCCTATTCTATCACTACATAACATTGTACCAAATAGTCAGTTTGAATTTCACAACAGACACTCAACAATACATCAAATACACCGACTAACTGATGAAATTGCAACAACGCTTGAAAATAAACATTATTGTGCCGGTCTATTTTTGGACGTAGCGCAGGCCTTTGATAGTGTTTGACATGAAGGCTTACTATTCAAATTAAAACACTATTTACCTGTTCCATATTTTCTCATTATAAAATCATATTTGGAAATCAGACACTTTGTCGTTCGCCAAAGAAATGAATTCTCATCATACCAAAAAATAAATGCAGGTGTACCTCAAGGAAGTGATTTATCACCAGACATTTATAATGCATTCACTGCCGATATCCCTCAAACTAATAAAACAATTTTAGCCACATACGCAGACGATACAGCAGTATTATCGATTAATAGTGATCCTAACGCAACCAGTCTTTCACTCCAATATCATGTCAACCTTATTGACTTGTGGGCAAAAAAATGGCGAGTAAAAATCAATGAAGATAAATCTGCTCAAATCACCTTCACTCTAAATTTCAAACCACAAGAATGTCCTCAAATTATTATGAATAATATCCCTATACCAATAAAAGAAGAGATCAATTACTTAGGAATTACGCTTGACAAACGACTGACGTGTGGCCCTCATCTAAAAGAAAAAAGAAAAAGTGCAAGAAACAGACTACATCTTTTACATCCTCTATTTATTTCAAAACTTCAACTTAAAACAAAACTATTATACGCCCAGTTTGGTCTTATGGTATCCAAATCTGGGGTCCAGCCAAACCATCGAACATAAATCCAATACAATCGTTTCAATCAATAGCACTCAGACTTATAACTAAATATCCATGGTATATATCAAACATAAATTTACATAAAGATCTACAAATTCAAAATGTAAACGAACTTGCAGTAATGTACTACAAACGATTTCATCAAAATTTATTAACACATAGAAACCCATTAATTAATAAAATATTAACAAACACTCTACCCTCAAATCCTCCTCGCAGACTAAAACGCCAATGGAATAGAGATCGTATAAATAACTAATGACTAACTACTATTCGTAACTATAATAAATAAAGAACATGCTAGAGGTGTGACTAATGAGTCATCTTCTTTTTATTATAATTCATGTCATTCTTAATATCATTTTTTTTTTTTAATATCAAATTTACTTATTGTACCAATTGTAATATAGATTATAAATATTCAAAGTAAATAAAAAAAAAAACATTTTTAAAAATGAAAAAATTAATTTAGATTTTTTTTGTAGATGCATGATATCTTGACCTAACATTTGGTATATTTTTTTTATAAATTGGACACTATAACTGCCCACAGGGGGGATCAAAATGACCCAACTTTTTTACAACAAATTAACTTAATTTTTTGAAAGTGTTCCGGAAATACTGACAATTTTATATATAACTTAAATTAAAGCTTATGTAACATACTTTAATATTAAAAAAAAAAATAAGGAAATAGGAGATCATGTAGCTTTTGGAATAATCCATTCATTTTTTAAATTAAACATTATCTACAGATTTGCATCGTTGCGTTTTTTATGATAGTGATTTTAATAACTGTCAGATATCATCTATACTGGAACCAACTATGCCTTGTCCCCACTTTGCCGCGACTCTATTATGCTAGGTTTTTTTATATCATAAATTAAGAAGTATTAAATTAATGTAATTAATCTTTCGCTTATAACTTGAAGAATCACTAACATCATCTACAACTAAATATAGTAGATTTGTTTTTTTTAATATTATATATAGTTATTTTTAAATATTAATATTATATATATATTAATATTTTAAATAGCAATAATATTATGTATTGTGATGTAATATTAAATTTAATAGTTTTTTGCTTACCATTTGAAGAACTAGCACCATCACCTATAATTAAATTTAGAATATTGGTTTTTTTATAATTTGCTCAATGTATTGAAATTTAAGAGAACATGAAATTATTAATTATAAATGAATAATTCCGATATTTATTACTCTGACAATTAATTACAAATACACAAAAGTCAATATTTATGCATATCTAATAGTCCTTAATAATTACTGATAATGTTATACAAATTCATAAGTTCTATGGTATGGGAGCAGCTCCTATGATGATCACAAGAGTTTTGGTAATATTATATTATTACTTATAATATTAACATATAATATTTTGTTATCATTTGTACATCTATATCACATATTATGATTATACAAGATCACCAAAACAAGGTTCTATTATTTAAAATACAAAATAACCCTTTAATTATGGGATAAAATCTACTTATTGTAGAGATTATTAAGTAACGCCTACACACAGTGTACACTCATTATAATTAACCAATTAGAATACAAAGCCTCAGCTTCCAGGACCACGGTAGAGATCGTCGGGCTAACCCCCTCAGACTATAAAAAGCCATTTTTCCCTGTCTAAACGAGTTCTTTCAGCGATTTCAAAATCTATGACACTCAACTCAAGATTTCACTCTCCGGAAGTCGATTTTTTAATTAATTTGGACTTAGAATATTTTTCTTTAAAATTAAATGACACTTAGAAATTTTAAAGTGAATTTTGTTTTGGTGAATCATTTAATTTAATTTAATTTGTTCATTAACTAATAATGTTTTATTTTTCTTATTGTGGAAATAAATATCAAATAATATTTTAAACATTAAATCTTTTTTTTTATTTTATTTTAATAATAAATCCAACCCAACTTTATATTTTTATTTAATAGTAAAAATAATATAAATAATAACAAAGTATTGTGTGCTTTTCTTATTGAGTAGCTAGTCTTTGAGCTTAATGTCTTTGTTCTAACGAACATCGTGACGGCGGAACGAGCTAAATGTCACAATTTTCTCAGTTAATACTGAGACTTGTATTAATTTATTAATAAATGTATTGGACTAAGTGTATTGCATCCCTATACTTACTGGGTAGCTAGTCATTAAGCTTAATGTCTTTGCTTTAACGAGCATCGCGTCGACAGACAGAGTAAAGGTTGCAACTACCCACATAGCAATGAAATATTTCTAGAATATTCCTAGAATATTTATTTTTGATATTAAAATATTTCTAGAATATAACCAGAATATATTGAAATATTCTCACAATGTTCTCAGAATATACTTTGGCAGCGAATATTACATTCTCACAATATTTTAAAGGTATATTTCTAAAATATTATAAAAAATATATTGTGACAATATTTTAAAAATATTTTATAAATATATTTAACAAATGCAAAAAAATAGACAGCTACGCGGGATTTGAGAACCCTGTACTACTAACGCTTTGGACTCGTACGTGACCCATTGACCCACATGTTGCTTCGAAAGAAATAGGATAAAAAAGACTATTTAAGGTAGTTCAAATGGTTATTTGTCTGTTAAGTAATTTTTCTTGTTTAAAAAAATTCAAAGTAAATACAATTTTATATTCAATTTATATTAGATTCATATAATTTTTTTGAAAATCAGCGATCCCATCACCATGATTTCTCCTTGTAAGTTAGAAACTGACTATTATTATTGATAATATAGAAATATATTCTAACTATAATAAAAAAACTTTTTAGGATTTTTAGTTTCACAGGACAATAATAAGATATAATTGCGCTGATAAAACTAAAAAAATTTTAACTCGATAGGCCTGCAAATAATAGCAACAAGGGTTTTTT